CCGTGAGAGACAACCAGAGAGGTTCACAGAGTTACATGAAGAATAGGAGAGGGAGGAAGGAGATAGAGGTGATCAGGAGGAGAAAAGGGGGACTCAAGAGGAGAGAGACAGATCTACGCAGTTATCTGTTCCCAAAGTGTTCTCTGTAGCCCAGACACCCACAAAGATTCACAGAGTTGGACTGGGAAGAGAAGGGGAAAGGAGGAAATAGAGGTGTTCCGAGGTAGAAAACAGAGTCAAAAGTGGGAGAGTAATCACCACACTCCTGAATAGAAATGGGAACTGAATATTGGATTCTTAAATGACCAAAATTTATATCACATACTACTGAAAAACAAAGATTAAAAATCTAGTGTAGAGGTTAGACTCTTTGAAATACAATATTTAAAAACAAAAACACACAAAAAAATTTAGAAATGTATATGAAGTTTGATTTAAAAATAGGGTTTCTCTCTCTCTCGTTTTTTTTTTTTTTTTTTTGGCAAGGTTATAGTGAAATGAAAATGAAAATTAAGGAATAATAGAGGAGTATTAGAGGACTTTAAAAGGAAATAGGAGAGAAAAACAAGAAAAAAAAATTTTTTTCCCTAATTAAAAAAATCATAAAAATATATGAAAATGAAAGTTGAGGACTAATGGGGGAGTAATAGGGAATTTTAAAAGAAAATAAAAGAGAAAAAATAAAAAAAATAAAGGAGAAAAAAAATTTTTTTTAATTAAAAAAATATATATATATATCTAGGAATTTCTCTGGAGTTGTTGCAGTCAGCATAGGTTCAGTTCAATTAGATAGCTCCTCTTTCCAGCTTACACTTCTCGATATCTGTAGGCCCCTTCCGGTGTAGTCGGTGTTACCTTCAGGGATTTTAATCTGTTGCACCGGTCCTTTCTGAAGCGGTTCCCTTTGTTTATTTGGCTTCTGTTTGCCGTCTCTTTGGTGTCTAATTTCCGCCCTGACACAGGCGGGTGGAGGTGATCTCTTATTTAGGTTCTCTAGTTCAGTCCTGCTACGGGGAGGGCGGGGTGCTGCAGACAGATACCGCTCTGTGTGGATAGCACTCACCGTGTTCTGGCCACACTGGGTTTGCCCCGCTCACGGGTGTCAGTGCTTTCGCTGTCTACACTGCTCAGGCTCCCGGCTGCTCCATATGGAGCGGGCCCTGCGCTGAGTGCGGTTCCAGTCTTCGGGTACTCCACAAAAGCGCAGATTCGGTTGCGCCTGCGTTTTGTGCCTTCCCCGGCCTGAGCGGTTCAGGCAGCCAGAGGCTTGGGCGCACTCTCCCCGGGTGCGGCGCGCCTTTTCCCTCCGCATCGAGCGGCCCAGGCAGCCAGAGGCTTGGGCGCACTCTCCCCAGATGTGGCGCGCCTTTTCCCTCCGCGGCGGGCAGCTCAGGCAGCCAGAGGCTTGGGCGCACTTTCCCCGGAGGTGGCGCGCCTTTTCCCTCCGCGGCGGGCAGCTCAGGCAGCCAGAGGCTTGGGCGCAATCTCCCCGGGTACGGCGCGCTTTTTCCCTCCGCGGCCGCAGCGCGCACCGCCAGTCGGGTCTCAGGAAGTCTTTAGATAGGAACCGGGGGCCTGTTTGCAGTGTGGGAGGGGGTGGCTTCTCAGGGGCTGAGTTTGCCCTTTTCCCCTCCCCCCTGCCTCCAACCTCCAGCGGGGATGGGCCGGCTCTTCTCTGGACTTTCTCAGTCCTTTTGTTTTGCGAGCCGCCGGCAGTGTGTTCGGGCCTGTTAATTTTGACCCTTGCTATCCCACAGTTTAAAAAAGCTCCCTCCGATTGCTCTCAGGGTCTTCGGGCCGGTCTTTACCCTAAGCAATGCCGCCCGCTCCTCTCCGTCCCGCCCCCGCTTGTTGCTGGCGGGTACGGGCGTCTGGGGTACTTTTCTGCTGGGAGTTGCTTTTAGGCACGTAATCTGTGGGCCTTGTTTAATTTTTCCTCCCAGTTAGATTGCCGAAAACTTCCCCCAGTCCCGCCAGTGCGAGGGTTTCCTGGTGATTGGAAACTTCCTCTATTAAGACTCCCTTCCCGGGATGGGTCTCCGTCCGTAGCTCTCTTGAGTCCCCTTTTTATCTTTTATATTTTGTCCTACCTCCCTTCGAAGACAATGGGCTGCTTTTCTGGGCGCCTGATGTCCTCTGCTAGCGATCAGAAGTTGTTTTGTGAAATTTGCTCAGCATTCAAATGTTCTTTCGATGAATTTGTAGGAGAGAAAGTGGTCTCCCCGTCCTATTCCTCCGCCATCTTGACTCCTTCTCTCGAGGTATACTTTTTATAACTTTTTATCTTGTAATAATTATATTTATAGGAGATTGCAGAGACATATGTAGAAATTTTGCATACTCTTCCTCTTGTCCTCCCCTATGTTAACATCTTAAACAATTATAGTGTCAAAGTCATGAAGTTGATACTGGGCCAGTCCTTATATTTTATTCACATTTTATTATTTGTGCATGTGTGTGTATCTGTATGCAGTTTCATCACATGTGTATTGGGTAACTACCACTGTAATTGAGTTACTTAACTGTAGCATCACTACAATACTCCCTCATGTTGCTCCTTTATAGCCACACTCATTCCTCTACTTCTCTTGCCCTTGGCCACCACTAAGCTATTTTCCATCCCTGTAATTATGTTATTTCGTTTAATATTGCATAAATGGCATCATGCAGGTTGTATCCTTTTGAGATTGGCTTTTTACAGTCAGTACAACTTCCTTCAGTTTCATACAAGTTGTGTGTATCAGTAGCTCATTCTTAGGCAAAAATGTTTTGTTGTGAACTTCTGCATAAAGTAGAAAAAAAGTACAGTGAATCCCAGTGAATTCAAAGGCATCAGTCTTCTGTTTATTATTTGAAAAGCAGATTGTAGATGTCATATCATTTCACCTTTAAAATATAACCACAAAATTACATTCCTAAAGGTAACAAATTTTTAATATTATCTAATACCCAGAATGAGTTCATTTTCCTGTGTAGAGTTGGTGTGTTGAATCAGAGTTCAGAAGTCCACATGTTGACTTTTGCTGATTTGATGACTCACTGCTTTATAATGTTGTGTACCATTCAGTGTAGTCTGGCACATTTTACGAAAATGCAGGATGGAGACAAAGTTACCCAATAGAGTTTAGGTGACATCATTAAATGTAGTGCTCAGATATGTGTGTACAAAGTGAAATGGATCCCTTGTCTGAGGAGAGGATTATGTATAACTGACTTTCTCTGGAAGGTTTTCTTAATATGGGGACTGTAAAGATAGGTGTCCTAAAGTACAAGGGATTTCATATCTCATGGTAGGAAGAGATCCATGGCGGTTGGCTAGACCCCAGCTGTATTGGTTTATAAAGCTTTGTATTAACGTTATCCATCACTATAAAAATGCTGTCTTAACAGGTTACCTCAAAACTTAAAACATTAAGAATTTATTTAGCTCATGAGTCTGTAATCAGTAACTTAGGCTGTAATTGACTATCAGTTATTCCTCTAAGCTGGGCTCATTCATGCCTTCCAGTCAGCTGGAGGTCAGAAGTCTGGCCTGAACGTATTCTCATGGTGGTAGCAGAGGTGCAGTAGTATCAAGCCCCGTCATACAAGCAGTTTTAAGCCTTCCCTTCTGTCATATTTGCTACTATCCTGTTAACCAAAGCCAGTTAGTTACCTGCCCAAAGTCAGAGTCAGCGTGTGATGGTGTTCACATAGCAAAGGGCACAGGTGCAGGGAGGGTGAAGAGCTTTGGTCACTAATGCAGTCTTTCTGTGGCAGATACTTGAGGAAGATACCATTATGTTAAAGTAGGACAATAGTGATAATACAGTTGAGAATTTCTTTGAGGGACAAATATCTTGGATTGAGGGAAATTTAAGGAGTAAAAATTATTTGCACACTACTTTGTTGGGACTGGGTGTCAATGTCAAATCAAAACCTTTTTTGCTAATTGGCCATACAGGCTGAATACTTATTTTGTATCCAGGATAAAGACTGTCATGTGCCATTAAAACAATAGTAATGAACTAGATACCCATAATGGTGGTGATGAGGTGGTATATCAGAACCCAAGGAAAGAAATAATCCCAATGGAAAGGGATGGACCATGGGAGAAAGGTGCCATGCTGGTATACTAAATATTAGTAATATGCCGCATGCAAAAACAAGGCACATTTTCTCATTTCTCACAACCTTTAGAGGTAGGTATTATCCTTACTTCTCAGATGAGGAAGTAGATTCAGGTATGGTAATCTGGCCACAGTTACATAGCTGTTAATTGGTTTGGCCATAAACCAGATAGATATGTTGGACTCTAAAGCCATATCTTCACTTTAAAGAATATCTGCCAATTCTTTTCTTTTACTCATATTTGAGCATAATATCTTAGGCATTGGAAATACAAAAATGGCATACAGCGTGATGTCATATAGATAAAAGTAGTTGTCATAGAAGATACAGAGATGGCACAAAGGAGGATATGGCGCGCTCTGCCTAAGTGTCTTAAGTGAGGCTGAGGTGTGGCTATTGATTGTCCACATAACAGACTGTTTAGTTGGATCTTAATGAATGGATAGACATACACGAGGCAGGTCAAGAAGATAATGGACGACATCCTAGCAAGAGAGAGCAGTATGTGGAAAGTCAGGAAGAAGACAACAGGGTAAGTTTCGGAAACACATAACAGTAGATTTGTTGTGAAGTCAGAGAACAGAAAGAGATAGTTTGGAAAGGTACAGAGTGCCAGATTATGGAAGAAAATGTATTTTATACTTGGAATACAATGCCAAAGCAGAGGTTAAAAAGCAATAGTTATATTGAGATCAGTTGTCTCCCTGAACTCACTAAAGTAAAGGCAGGCAGGCTCAAAATACTCTAATGTCCACCAATTCATTTTTGATAAAAGTATTAGTTTTATTGCTTTAGATAGCTTAAACATCTTTTCTGAGCACTTAGGAAATATTTTGAACTTCGGTACATGCTGCTTTTTACTCATGATCTTCTTTTCTGTTTCTTTCTAGGCAGAACGTGTTCATGAGTTAAATGAAGAAATTGGTAAATTGTTGGCCAAGGTGGAGCAGCTAGGAGCTGAAGGAAATGTGGAGGAATCCCAGAAAGTAATGGATGAAGTGGAAAAAGCACGGGCAAAGAAAAGAGAAGCAGAGGTAGTTTATACTTACAGTTTACAGAGCCTTAGCATCTGTACTTGCAAAAGAACATACTGATCAGAAATTACTGAAAGTTAAAGGAAGCTTAAACTAGTTTAAAAGCATACAGCTAGTTTGTGTCGTGCCAGTGGGTTGTATATCAAAACTAGTGGTGGTTCTGGAATTTAGAGTCATTGATCTGTTGAAATTTATAACTGGAAATGAAATTATCTAAACAACGTCTCTCATACACACAGACACACACATACAGTATTGATAGCCATGGTCACTGTGATACCCTACCCCCCTTCTCCATCCTCATGCAACGATAGTACTCTCCCTTCCATCCTCATTACAGTCTGCTAGCACACTGGAAGCCTCCTCTCATTCTTCCTTCACAGCACAGCTCAAAATCTGCTGTCCTGCAGACAAAGTTCTATTTTTTTTTTGCCCCTCCCCCCGATGTTTTTTAGAAAATCAAATACCTTCAAATAAGATGGTATCTTCCCTTTTGCCATAGTCTACATTGTTCTTAACTGTATCACACCTGGGTTTGATTTGTTCTTATTTCTGTAGCCTTTTGAGGCAGAAGCTTAGAGCATTCATTTAGTTTATTTTATTGATTTATTTTTCATTTTTTTACTTTTACTGAAGTATAGTTGATTTACAGTGTTGTGTTAATTTCTGGGCTTCCCGGGTGGTGCTAGTGATAAAGAACCTGCCTGCCAATGCAGGTTAGACCTAAGAGACACTGGTTTGATCCCTGGGTCGGGAAGATCCCCTGGAGGAGGGCATGGCAACCCACTCCAGTATTCTTGCCTGGAGAATCCCTTGGACAGAGGAGCCTGGCAGGCTACCGGCCATGGGGTTGCAAAGAGTTGGACCCAACTGAAGCAACTTAGCAGGCTCAGCAAAGTGACTCACTTATTACATATATATTTTTTTTCTTTTCCATTATGTTTTATCATGGATTATTAAATATACATATAGTTCCTGTGCTATACAGTAGAACTTTGTTGTTCATCCATACTGTATATACTAGTTTGTATCTGCTATTCCCAAGCTTCCAATCCTTCCCTCCTCCAACCCCCTGGATCATTCCTAAGCACAGCAATAGCATCTCCCAGATTTTCATATGCTGTGTTTTTATTTCCATTCATTTCTAAAGACTTGCTAATATTGCTTATGATTTCTTTTCTGACCAGTGGGTTTTAAGAGATATGTTTAGTTTTTATTTTTACTGATTTTAATTCTGTTGTGGTCAGAAAATATGTTGTAATTTCAGTTCTCTTAAATATGTCAGTACTTGTTTTGTGACCCTGCCTATGGCCTGTCTTAGTGAATGTTCCATTTGCACTTGGATGATACTCTGCCTTGTTAAATGAAGTGTTCTGTAAATGTCCTTTGAGTCAAGATAGTTGATAGATTTTTTTCAACTCATCTATATCCTGTTGGTTTTCCTGCCTACTTATTCTACTATTAATATTTACTGAGAGGAGAGGTTGAAGTCTAATTGTGGATTTCTTTATGCTTTCCATTTAGTCACTTTTTGTTTCATATATTTTGGAGCTCTGTTACCAGCTTAGTAGACATTTAAGGTTTATATGTCTTTGATTAATTTAACCCTTTGTTTTGAAATGTCCTCTGTCCCTATTAATGTCCCTTGTTTTGAAATCTCCTTTGATGTTATTAAAGATTCTAGCTTTTTTAATAAGTTGAAGTTGTACACTATAGAGAAACCACTGGAGCAGAAAAAGAAGTATAACTAATAGCTGACATAAAGTGGAATCCTAAAAAAGTACTTAATCCAAAAGAAAGGCAGGAGAAAAGAAAGAAACAACAGGTTAGACATACAGACAGTAAATAGCGGGATGGTAGACTTAAACCCAGTGTATCAATAATTAAATTAGATATAAGTGGTCTCAATAGTCCAATTAAAAAGAGATTGTGAGACTAGATTTACAACAAAAAGAAATAAGACTTAACTGTGTACTAGCTGCAGGAAATCCACTCTGAATACAGAGACACAGTTTAAAAGGTTCTAGGCTGGGAAAAGGTATACCAAGTAGCCATTCTAGGTAGTTTTAATTTCTTAATATTAGGATTTCTTTAAATGTAGTTAATGTCAGTCCAGAAAATAGTTTGTGGTACCACCATGACCTCTAAGCCTAAAGCCTTTCATTTCTCCCTCAGTAGAAAGAGGAGGAATAATAAGGCACAAAAATTGAGTTGACCTGTCTTGTGCTTTCGGTTTTTCTTTTTAAAAATATTTTATTTTGAAATATTTTAAGAAAAGTTAAAATATCGGGTGAAGAATTCTCCTGTATCCTTCTCACAGACTCTTCAAATGTTAACATGTTACCGCATTAGCTTTATCATTCTCTTCCTACATCTGTGTGTGTGTGTGTGTGTGTGTGTGTGTGTGTATTTGAACTGTTTGACAGTGTTATAAAAATGATGCCTCTTTATCCCTAAGTACTTCGGTGTGTATTTCATAAAAACAAAGATATCTTACTATATAACCACAGTACAGTTGTCTGAATCACGGAATAATATTGTTAACAATACTATTAATCTGAAGACTTTGTTTAGATTTTACCATTTGTCCCAATAATATTCATTTTCAGAAAAGAAAAAAAATTTTTGTTTAAGATCCAGTCCAGGATCATGTATTGCATTTTAGTTGTTATGTCTCTCTAGTCTAATTTAATCTGGTACCTCAGTCTTTGTCTTACACGGTCTTGACCGTTTTGAAAAGTATAGACCTGTTATTCTGTAAAATGTCCTTCACTTTGGATTTGCTCACTATTTCTTTCCATTAGATTTTTGAGAGGAATACCACTGAAACAATGTCACAGCTTATCAAAAGCATGTGTTAGTGGTTTGTTCCCATGTATACCTCTATCTCCTCCCTCTCGAGCCGCCCTCCCACCCTGCCCCTTAGGTCACCACAGGACACGGTGCTGGACAGCGGCTCCCCACTAGCTGTCTGTCTCACACATGGTAATATGTGGTTTTGTTGCTAAGTCGTGTTCCACTCTTACAACTCCATGGACTGTACCCACCACGCTTCTCTGTCCATGGAATTTCCCAGGCACAAATACTGGACTGGGTTGCCATTTCCTTCTCTAGGGGATCTTTCTGACCCAGGAGTCAAACCCGGGTCTCCTGCATTGCAGGTAGATTCTACCAACTGGAGCTAATAGGAAATCCCTAGTAATGGGAGAAATGTCTTATTTAGGAAGAAAATATGTGCAAATGAAACAGCAGACAACGGATTAATCTCCAAAGTGACAAACAGCTCATGGAGCTCAATATTAAAAAAAAAAAAAAAATCAAAAAAAGGGTGGAAAACCTAAATAGACATTTTTCCCATTGCTTTTTTAAAAACAATTGGTATACAAAAACTGGGCCCAAAGTGGAGGCTGCGTTTTTTGTTTTGTTTTTTAAATTTCACTCATTTATTTTTGGCTGCGTGTGGGCTTTCTCTAGTTGTGGGAAATGGGGCTACTCTCTAGTTGTGGTGCAGTGACTGCTTTTGTTGCGGAGCATGGGCTCTAGAGTGCTGGCTCAATAGTTGTATTATGTGGGATCTTCCCAGACCAGGGATTGAACCAGTGTCCTTTGCTTTGCAAGGCGGATTCTTAAAGAACCTCCTACAGATTTTCTCCAGCAGTGTCCACTTGTATTTCCTTAGCCAAAGCTATGTGGAAACTTGGATATGTCATGCTTTGAGCTGGGCATGCTGCTGCCTCAAACAAATCAGAATTCTGTCAGTATAAGGAAAAAGGATAGAGTGGATGCACAAATCCACTAATTTATTATCTCCTTAATGAACTTAATATAAATAAAATGATGAGTCCAAGACCTCTTAATCTCAGTAAGGCACCTTTCATCTATGTCTTATAGAGCCCCTCTGTTTGAGGTGAAGTTTTATCATTTGGAGGCCTTGTCTGTATTTACATAGTGGGGAAAATGATACGTGGGAGGAAGCTGTATGGAAGACATGCATTACTTTTCTGCAAGCATGGGCGACTACCTCCTTGATTCCTCACTGATGTATATTTTTGGGGTTGCTGAATCTCATTTTTAACAAAAAAATAAAGAAAACAGAACATTGAGAACACCTTTGAAGAAAGTTACATCGTGTTACTGTTATTGTAGTTCTTGGCAAAAGGTAATTTGAGGCTCTGATCTTTCATTTCTAGTGGAGAAGTCCTGAGGACAGTATGGGAGTAAGGGGGGAATCTATTTTGTGACAAAAGAGCCATACTTTTGTATGTTCACTAGAAGCATTTTTTTTTGTATGAACATAGTGAATTTTGTTTAATTGTGTGATTTGAATGCAGTTTATATGAACATGGTTTTTCTCTTTTGTTTAGGAAGTTTATCGGAATTCTATGCCAGCTTCCAGTTTCCAGCAGCAGAAACTTCGAGTCTGTGAAGTTTGCTCTGCCTATTTAGGTCTTCATGATAATGACAGACGACTGGCTGATCATTTTGGGGGTAAACTGCACCTGGGATTTATTGAAATAAGAGAGAAGCTTGAAGAATTAAAGGTACATTGGTAAATTAATATCCCTCACTTTGTCTAGTTATAGCCACTCATTTGTCTTTCTGTGTAGTATTTTTCTTTGATATTGAAGACTATTCTTAACTGTGAATCTGTTAATAATTCAGATTATAGGATTTTGTGTAGGATTGTAAATGAAAATAGCAGCTTGTTTAATGGATGTCTGACAAACTTTAAAAATCTTCTTATTCTTGGTGGAGATAATATTTTGTCTTGGACATTATATTGAATCAGGTAGGAATCTTGCAAACTGGGTTATAAAATCATACGAGCCCCCTTAAATTTCCAATGATACTGTCTTTTTTTAAAAAAAAGCTGGTAATAATGTTAATATAACATTTAAGGGAAGATTAAAAAAATGATCCAATATTTATTTAAAATATTTTGCAGTTCACTAAATAGCAGACTTTAGAACCTCTAGTTTTATGCTTCTGCTTCTACTTCAGAACTTAGAAACCTATTTTTTTTAAATGGACAGTCTGTCATTTAAATATATAGACTGATGTAAGAAAGGCAACACAACTCTTACTTGTCTGCCAAATTCTTCTGAGAAGGTAAGTTAGCAAAGACAGAAAAGGATATTTCTAAACCATTGAAAGAAAGCACAGTCAATGGATAGAACCAATTTACATTTCAGCAGTCTGATGTGGCTAGTTGTTTTTGTCTTTTTTTAATTAGCACTGTCGCATTTTGTCATGAATTGAGAACTATCTCAAAGATGGCAAACACCAGTAGTGACTTTTTGTGTAGTTATCACTGAAATTAACCCAGCATCCATGGCTGGGCATTTAAAATAATGTAGAATCAAAATCCGGAGAAGGCAGTGGCACCCCACTCCAGTACTCTTGCCTGGAAAACCCCATGGACGGAGGAGCCTTGTAGGCTACAGTCCATGGGGTCGCTAAGAATCAGACATGACTGGGCGACTTCACTTTCACTTTCATGCATTGGAGAAGGAAATGGCAAGCCACTCCAGTGTTCTTGCCTGGAGAATCCCAGGGACGGGGGAGCCTGGTGGGCTGCCGTCTATGGGGTCGCACAGAGTCGGACACGACTGAAGTGACTTAGCAGCAGAATCAGAATCACCTAGGGATGTCTCCATATTTTTAGTTTATTGTGAGCTCTTGTCAGTATTCTGAGTAGCTTAGATGATCTTGGGTAAGTTTTTTGAAATTACAAAATGAGTGTCAACATAGCAAATAATTCATTGGGCTCAAAGATAAAAATGGTACCTGATTGGGTACCAAATACAGACCTAGCAGCAGAACTGTTGAGAGTTTCACTGGTATTTTTAAAAGCAGTAGCATCAGGATTGTAACCAGACGTCAACAAGACATTTCTGTGTTGGAAATCATAGAGCATGGAAACAATGATTTATAATGATTGATTTTTAAAATCATTTTTAAAGAATTTAGAAGATATTAAGAGGAGAAAAATCTTATAAAAGTGATTTTGAAATATCATTAAGAAGTCATGGAGAAATATGAAATTTTATATGAAAGAGAGGAAACATTTTAGAAACCAGACTTGTAAGCTTAATGATCATACCTGACAAAACTTCACATTGAATTGGTATTAAAAAGTTTTGATATTAGATATGGTAAAGTTGAGGATAATGCTAAGAATGGGCCCGGTAAATAATGCTTCTCATTTAATATTATTTGAACTGTCATTGTGTTTTAAGAGAGTTGTAGCTGAGAAGCAGGAGAAAAGAAACCAGGAACGCCTGAAAAGAAGAGAAGAAAGGGAGAGAGAAGAAAGGGAGAAGCTGAGGAGGTATGGTGTAATTACTGGAGTAGTCCAAGTACCTGAAGTGGGACATTCCTGGTTCTAAAAAAGATGTGATGGTGTATAAGATTTTAGGCATCAATAAATCTGGACTTGGGAAATTTCTGTTTACTCTTAAAAATATTACCATATGAAACAGTGTTTATTCAAGTATATTAATTAATGACTGTTTAAGTCTAGGAGATTTCCTTCAAAATGTAGGGAAGAGGGAGTCAAGAGCGCCTCACATCTTTATGTTTAGAAGATTTACAACAAGGCCGGTTTCTAGCCCTTTGATTATCATAATAGGCTCACATTGTGCCAGACTGGCACAGAACTATTTTATGGTACATACTTGTTGATAGAAGGTCTGGGTGTGTTGGTTTTTTATCTGTTTGACTGATTATTTTACATGCTACTTTGATTCTGTATTTCTTCAATTTAGAAGCTATAAACTTAAAACTTTTATTAATTTAATAATAGCTAAATATGCACAGTTCTTTTATATTGGTATATTAGCTGATAAAATCAGGATTCTTCATATTTAGAACGTGTGCATGTTCTGGATCATTGTTACCCATTGGCAGCAAGTTGTGTGATAAAATGTTTAAAATCTTCAACAATTTTCAGATGGAGGGATGTGCCAGAAAAGACTTAGCTGTCATTCTAACTTACAATGTTTCCTTAATGGTGTTATATTTCTCTGAAATTTAAATAGCTTCTCTTCAGTAGATGTCCTTGAGTTAATTAAAACCCTTGATAATATGTGACTCGGCTATGTCAACTTCCTCCAAACTTTGAGCATGTTACATGCAGTCTATTTCAAGAGACTGAAACTGATTTCATCTTTGTTACATGGCTTTTAACAGGTAGTCTTTCTGCACTGTGATGACAAAAATGAAACAAAGCTGTATATGGACATGTTCCTGTTTAGAGGAAGTGCTTTTATTCTTCCATCGATATATTTTCTTCATTTACTAGTAAATTTTACCTCAGAGCTTAATCTCTGTTCTCTTTTGTGTATACTAAGTTTTCATGGAAATAGCGCCCAGTATTGTAATATTTAAGATAATATAAATGGAATTTGAATCTCAGTTTAAGTTAAAATTCAACAGAATATACTGCCACTAATATAAATTATACATCTGAGATGACAGCCAAATAAGAAAAAGAATTCTTTGCAGAACTACATTTTCACATCTGTCAGAGATGAAAGTACATCACAGCTTACTCTTTTAAATGCTATATTTCTTTTAATATTGGTTATGAAATGTTAACACTTTCAGAAATGTTTAAAAAGAATTTTTTTTAACTATATGTGAACTTGAAGGACCCTAAGTATGGAAGATGAGGAAACTACTAGTAAGTATAAAATTATACACAAAATGGGGTTCCAACTATGGTGTAGAAAGGATAATGATAAAAATTATCACTTTACTGGATGCTTACTGTGTTCCAGCTACTGTGCTAATAAGACTTCCTATATTAATTTATCTATTACTTGAAAGCCCCCTGTGAATTTTTTTATTACTATTCCTCTTTTTCAAATGGCAAACTAAGCTTCGGGAAGATACATAATCTGCCCAGGCCACACAGATAGTGAGTGGTGGAAACAGTTATGGCTTATATGAGGCTCAGTCCACATTCATGTTTCAACCAAGCAATATACGCTCCACCAAAAAAAACCCTTTGACTTCCAGGTAACCATAATATTTGCTCTTAGTATCTGTTGAGCTTTAATTGTGTGCTGGGCAGCATGAGGAGTACTTTATATCAGAGAATTGTGTGTCATATTAAAAAACATTGTAAGATTGAATTGAGTGTTTTAGGGGTTATCGTATGAGGTGATAATTCCTGAGTATGTGTCCCTCAGAAGTTTTATTCTGTTCCCAGAGGGAAAGACGAAATGACAGATGTAAATAACAAAGAATTCTTTCCAGGTTGGGAGGTGGTTTTTGGAGAATTAGTGAATTGCATTGTGTTTTAAGTCTTCTAGGAGCATATTCTTAAGAGCTAGGTAGCCTAGGTAAGGGGTATGCCAGAGTGGGAAAGTCTGTGTGGTGCTTTTGGGGAATATTTGTGTATACACACATGTGCCTTGTATTTATAAAGTTAATATAAAAATTAGAAATGGGAATGTAATTTTAATAGCACAGTACCTTTTCCTCCTTATTTATAGCTATTTTTCTAAAAATAGAATTCTTTTTTTAGGTCTCGATCACATAGCAAGAATCCTAAAAGGTAGGTATTATACAAGATAAGTGGTGAAGCTGTTTTTCGAGGGTAGTGAATGAGAATTTATTAGTACTCTTAATTCTTTTGTAGTGCATATTTGAGCAGTGTCATTTGAGAAGAAGTTGGTCAGAAGATACTCATGAGCTACAGTTTAGTTTTATCAGAGTAAATTATATACAGGGCCCTGAAGTGACAGAGAAAGCTAAAAATATTTCAGACTTATTTCATTAAAATCTTGTTTAGAAGCTCAGTGTATACATGTGACAAGATTTACTTTTTAAAAATCAGTTTGGGTGGTACATCTAAGAAACATATTCTAAGAGGTTGTATCTGTTCAAAATACAAATAAATAGTTGGATATGTTTTGAATGAGGCAATCCATGGTGAGTTAGTTAAGGGAAATGAAAATGTTTAGTTTGCACCCAAGCTAGACTTGGGCTTTATTACTTCTCCCTTTGTACAGGGATCACGTAAAGCTTTAATGGGGCATTTTACATCCTTACAAGAGAAAGAGGAGAAGACTTAATTTTGATCTTTGGCCCTAGTATTGGTGGACTTTCTGAAGCTTTTTCCCCCAATTCTTCCATTGCTCTCACTCAAATCACATCTTCTTTTTGAAACCTTCTATGTATTCTTGACTCTAAAGAATAAGAGCATTTGCTGTTATGAAAGCAAAATCTTGTGTGTCTATTAAATGTCCCTTAGTACTTTTTAGTGCTTTTTTTTTAGTACTAAGTACTTTTTTTTGGTGGCGGGGAGAGGGTTCCCTTGTAGCTCAGTCAGTAAAGAATGCCTGCAGTGCAAGAGACCTGGGTTTGTTCCCTGGGTCAGGAATTTCCCCTGGAGAAGAAAATGGCAACCCACTACAGTATCCTTGCCTGGAAAATCTCATGGACAGAGGAGCCTGGTGGGCTGCAGTCCATGGGGTTGCAAAGAGTTGGGCACGACTGAGTGACTAACACTTACTTAGTACTTTTTAGCATCTTTCAGTGGTATTTCTGCTTAAAACACTGAAAACTAAGACATTAGTCAGGACCAGTTGTATCAGCTAATTTATATGGTGGTGAGTTTCGCAATCCAGAATGAGAAGTAGAAATATTAAATGATGATTTTTTAGTGATTGGTTACTGTAGGCTTGTCCCTTTATTGGAGAGAAATTAAAACCCTTTGTACACAGAACATCCTTAGACAATCAGGCTAGATATTTAATTTCTACTACCCTAGTCCAAGCCACGTTTTACCTCACTATTTACAGTAACCTCTTAACGAGTCTCTTAATTTCTATTCATATCCACGTCCCTTTTTGGCCTCAGTCTGTTTTTTACAAGAATAAAAAATGTATTCTTTAAAAAGTAGAATAAAGCAAATCAGTTCTGTCTTCAAACCTTCTAAAGGTATTCCATTTCACTCAGAGGAGAAGCTGAAATCCTCACCATGGTTTTTAAGAGGAGTGATCAATATGCCCTAGGAGAGTTATGGTTTATTTCTTGTCTCAGCACGTTTATTAATAGCTCCCTCTTTTCCTCTGTATAATTTAATACTGAAAGCATCCTGGTTTGAATGACAAAGTACTTGGTCATCCTGATATTACTCCCCCCTTGCTAATCTCATTACAGCCAGAAGGGTTTCTTTTGTTCTGTGAACTTTCTCCCCCTCAGGGCCTTTGCACCTGTGTTTTCTCTACCTGAAGCATTCTTCTCTGTGCTCCCTGATTAGCTGATTTCCTTAGTTCATTTAATCTTTGCTTAAATGCTATTTTATAAGAAAAACCTTTCCTGCCTATTCTGTATAAAAGAGGACTGCCTAATTTCACTCTCTTTTTTTACCCTTCTGTCATGTCCTTACTGCCTGACCTATCTTTTATTTGCGGCCTACACGTCTGTGGAGGCCTCTTTCTGGAGCTTGAGCACCATGAGGTTAAGGACTTTGCCGTACGTGCTGCTCCGTCTCCCTAGTACCTGGAACAGTGCAGTAGGCACCCAGGAAATGTTTTTACCAGTTATTGTCAAGTAAAATGAAATATGCCTTGGGGAAATAATTTGTTAAAATAGCTCAGAGTGAGTGATATAAGAAAATACCATTTTATAAAAACACATGGAATGGATTTTCTCTTTTCCCTGTGTTTCCTCTCAGAAAAGTTTAATTGTGGAAACACTGTATTCAGCTGTGATTGATACTAGATCCACAGTAGATGCCTTTCTTTCTAATGTTGATATAAGCTGAATACTTTTAAACTGTAACAAAGTAATCATTTGAAAATAAACCCAGTTTATAACTTACCGGAATAATGTGCTTTTGAATTTAACTGTAATCAGATTACGAGAAAATATTTCATTATTTACACACCATCTGATAAGTTTTACCTATTTAAGTTTGCAGGGTAATTTTTCAGTAAATTTTTAAGTTGTGCAACTGTCACAATCCAGGTTAGAACATTTCCATCACTCTTAACAATATTCATTCATTTCTTCCTCATTGTTTCCCAAGTGTTTTATATCCTCTATATATGTTGTCCCCACCCTGACCAAATACACAAGTTAGTTTTGTAATCCAATAGAGGCTACAGAAGTGTTTTTCCTTCTCTGTATGCCTACATACTTGTTGTAAATATTATTTTTTTGCAGTTTAAAGTTCTCTAAAATGATTTACGCATTTAATCTTTTTCTTCCCAATAAATTATGTACTACTTGCATAGAGAACTGTCTTAACTGTTTTGATTACACTGACAAGACACATTGTGGGCATTTAAATTTATTTTGATATTCATATAACCTTTCCAATTCACTGAGTTAAAACTTACACTAAACAATATTCTTTCTCATGTGTCTCCTCCCTTCTGTTCATGTACACCAGGTACATACTTTGTTTCTAAAGTATACTAAAAATCATAGTTAAATCCATAAAGCATGTAGGTAATATAGTCCTTGGCATGTAGTAGTATTATAGGTTGTTTCCTTCATTTAAAAGAATACTCCTGATGTAAATTTATACAGCACTGACCTGAGAACTGTTTCTTCTTTCAAAATTCTAGTATGTAGTTATTTAATATACCAGCAGTTTATTTCAGTGTACATTTAGCTGATTTGAAATAGTATTGGCATTAAGTAAGTTTCTCTGTAAAGAATAGGCTTAGTAATTGGGAAACTTAGTGCCAACTAAACTAAAAATTAAATATCTTTTCTAGATCCAGGTCCAGGGAGCATCGCAGACATCGATCTCGCTCCATGTCACGAGAACGGAAAAGGAGAACTCGATCCAAATCCCGGGAGAAACGCCATCGCCACAGGTCCCGCTCCAGCAGCCGTAGTCGCAGCCGCAGCCACCAGAGAAGTGGGCACAGTTCTAGAGACAGGAGCAGAGAGCGATCGAGGAGGAGGTACTGAGGTCCATAGGAGGATATGGAACTGCCTTTACAGTCTAGACTTGGAATACTAGTGGTTTGAACTTGCATCTGGTGATTTGTACACATTTGTGTGTGTGTGTGTATAACTTTTTTTCCCCTGATTATATGGGTAGTTCAGAAAGAATATACTTATGAGCCAGAGTAAGAAATTGGAACCAATACGTGCAGAGGTTATTGCTTTTCTCTGGTTAGTGTGTCTTGGGGAAAAGTACTTTATGGGCAAATAATTTTAGGTACCAGTACTGTGAGAGCTTCTCCAGTATGTATTGGCAAATTAGGAACTCTGAGAAGTCCTTTTGTTAAGAGTTGCTTGACTTACTGTTTTCTAAACTTCTTGGAGCTGGTGTACTTTTTCAGAGCAGATAAATTCAGTATATTCTTGTTTATTCTGCACTATAGGTATGCAATGTTATATACAGTTAGCTTGGCAGGGCAGGTTCAGAATTTTAAGGAAGTTAGACATCACTGGCATGAAAATTCAAAACATGCAGGGAGGGCAAACCCAGGGTGAGGTATGTTAAAGGACTTGAACGTCTAATCAGGACAAAGGATTAGAATGTGATGGAGCCTTTGTACTCATGATCTGTATAGACCAAGCTCCCCAAACTTCTCAGGTCCCATCATGGCCCTTAAGCCAGGTCATTTCTATGGAACAGAAACATTTTTTGAGTGCCTATTATCTATTAATCTCAAGCTTTCTATGGATTATTACTCCACATAAAACCTGTGATAAATTTCTAACAGCTTTCTGCAGATTCCTTTTTTTATTTTTGGCGCCTTAGCTAGCCATTCCCTGAAACTGCTCACAGATTGAGTTGGATATGATAGGCCCTTTTATTTATTTTTTTATTTTCTCGCCTTGTTCCAAGTAGGTTCCCACCCCCTCCTCCAGCTTTATTGAGGTGTAATTGACAAAGTTGTAAGATATTTAAAGTGTACATTGTGGTGATTTGCTATACATGTACATTGTGAAAGGATTCCTCCCATCTAGTTAGTTAACACATCCATCACCTCACATATATTTTTGCTGTTTTTGGTGAGAACATTTATGTTCTACTCTTAGAAAACCAAGTAGTTCTTCTACTGTACTAGGCCTAGTAAACATATCTATATATAAAAGGTAGTTCAGCAACTTTATTCAAGTGAATTAGGACATAGGACTAATATTTTGACAATAATGAGATTAACCTAAGTGCTAAACTGGAATCAGAGTAAACAGTATGGGAGTTTAGTGCTAGTGCTAAGTCGCTTCAGTCGTGTCCATCTCTATGCGACCCTATGGATTGTAGCCCACCAGGCTTCTCTGTCCATGGGATTCTCCACGCAAGAATACTGGAGTGGGTTGCCATTTCCTTCTCCAGGGAATCTTCCCAACCCAGGGATTGAACCTGCATCTCTTATATCTCCTTTGTTGGCAGGCGGGTTCTTTACTGCTAGCGCCACCTGGGAATTTAGATGAGGGAAATATCAGAGTAATTAAAAAAGATAGCTTCAGGGAGTAGCCTAAAGCCTAAATAGAGTAGGTATAATTTGAATAGATAAAACCAGGTAGGAAAGAGATATTTCAGATATTACAGGCACATGCAAAGAATGAGCTGGGAATTTGTGAGTTTTTAAGGGACAGAGTTGTTCATAGTGTGCTTCTAGGTCACTTATATCATTAAAACTAAAGGCACACAGTACAGTGCCCAGAAAAATACATTTTAAAAAATTCTCCATGAATCTTACCTACACTGTAAATTTTAAGAATCATCTTGCTGGTAGGTAGAAGGTCTAGATAATTTCTCTTGTCACCTTGGCCCCCGTCATTGTTTTGGTATCTCTGCACTCCTTTAAATATTGTCATTGGTGGTGGCGATGGCGGGGTAGGCATGAAGTCTCCCTCTTCGGGGACCCAGTCCCTAATGTTTCCTGTGTTTATGAAGATAATATAGGAAATTTTGACTACCATACTACCTGACAGCCCTCATCCAATATTTTTAGCATATTGTTCATAAAGAGAATTGTTTTTGTAGAAGTATTTCTTTCCTCAAGAACACTTCTAATCTTGATACTCAGATTACTGTCTCAAAGCAGTATTTTGTTTTTTGCTGAAAATGAGCAATTGCTATTGAAATCTACTTGATATAAAAGAAAATATCAAGTTATTGCTACATAGTAACAGTTTTAATTTCAAGGTAAAAATCCCAGCTAAAGGTCTTTAATAACTTGGCGTTCTTCTGCTTCAACTGAAGTACTGGTCTCAGTAGATTCTGCTTGCAGCCTTTCCTGGCAACAGCCACCCTTGGTAAATGAGGACCATGTGCATTTTTCTGCTGCCTGCTGTGTTCAGGTGCATACAGTGCAGACTTCAGAGTCAGACTACTTGGGTGAAAATGGCCTTGGCCGAATTATCTAATTACCCCTCCTGTCTTTCCTTATCTACTTGGTAGAAGAGTACCTGCTTCATCAGAATTATTGGTATACTGAGTAAAAAACTGCTTTTGTACAGGACATTGTAACCTCTGGCAAAATATATTAGTTGATACTCATCTCACAGTCTGTCGTCGTTTCTCTGGGACTCAGCAGCAGTACCTGTCCTTACTGTTAGGCAGCATCTCAGTCTTCTCTCCTCATATTCCGTTCCTACAAAGACATGGGTGGGATGTGTGGAGTGTGATTTAGCATGATTTTAAAATTAAGCTTATTAAAACCTTAATTCAGTAGAATGCTCAAAGTTGACATTTAATCTTTTAACCTTTCTGGTTTAATCTTTTTAAACGATATTTCTAAAGCTGCCTAGTATAGTAGTGTTTTTTTCCCTTGCCTTAGTAGTTGAAAGTATTACTTAATCAGGCTTCAGATCCTAATTCTGAGCATGGGTTAAGTGAGATAATTATGTAAAAGTACCGTGTCGCCTGTAAAGAACCAAAATAAATGTGATATGTTCCTAATTTATTCTAGATGTTGAAGGTATAGAAGATTCCATATTAATTCTGATCCCCTAGTATCTTTTGGTTTTCCTTCTGATTGAATCTCTGGTATTAGCTTATATTTACCTTTCTTATTGGCTCGGTATGGAAATGGAAAGGTGGTATTAAGAAACAGTTTCGGTTAATCAAGATTTATTATAGTGTGATCACCTGTCTTTTATTCTGGTTTTTTTCCTATTGGTTGAATGAGCTAACTCAGGAGGAATAAAGCAGAGTTTTAAAATAATCAGTGGTTACTTAAAGCCATATCATTGAGTAGTTCTCTTATCTAAGTTGAACATTGGCAAACTGTTGCCTGCAGGCCAAATCTGGCCCATTGGCCTGTTTTTATATAGCCAGGGAGCTATGGATGATGGTTTTTATATTGCTAAGGAGTTGACAAAAGGAAGAGGAAGAATATACCACACTTACATGACCTGTAACACCTAAAATCTTTACATCTCTGGCCAGACAGCAAAGAAAAATTGGTTCCTGACTCCTATCATAAGTCAGTGCTTTCCATCTAATTTGGAATGTACATTCTGTTTTTAAAATGCTGGATAACATTTTTAAGGTATTATCTTGTATATTTTCATATATTAAATACATTTGCTGTGAGCTGGAGAAGCTTTAGGGTTGCCTCTGAGATAATGAGACTGTCTTGGAAATCATTATTTTGGCTTATGGTTTTTTACCCTTAGCTCTTTGTTTTCACCCATCTCCTTAATTAGTACCCTTACCAAATATAGTAGTGCTCTTTTCTGTCAGAAAACTGACTCCTCTTTCTTAGGTGTATTCTGTGTATCTTCAACTAATCAGTACCTTAATATTTATCCGATTCTTTCATTTGGGTTTTGGGTTTCCCAACACATTTTGCTCCTCAAATTAATATTTTTCAGATCCTCAAAAGAAAGATTCAGAGACCAAGACTTAGCATCACGTGACAGAGACAGGAATTCAAGAGACAGATCACCTCGTGACAGAGATCGAAAAGATAAGAAGCGGTCCTATGAGAGCGCTAATGGCAGATCAGAAGACAGGAGGAGCTCTGAAGAGCGCGAAGCAGGGGAGATATAATTAGCTGTGTACATATCCTCAATCCTTAAGCTTCTTCTGGAGTTACATACTATTGTTTAGTTTACAGCTGTTTGGGGTGACACAGTGAGCAGTTCCAGACACTGATCCAGCTAGGCTAGGTGTACAGCATCTAACTCAGTCTGTACTTGTTTTCTTTGATGAAGCCTAAAACTACATCCATAGTTTCTGGTGAACCTGTAATACACTTCTGAAAGTCCAGTTTTATATAATAAGACACAGATGTCTTTATTCTTTCTAGTAGGACTGATAGTGAATAAATTGTGTTACTTGCCTTGGGATTTTTTGAACATTTGTAAATGCTGTCTTCCTCTCTAGTCCCAAACAACGGCGACTTTGGGAATTTCTTTTTAATCCTTCTTCCTTTGACTCTATATCCCCTGACACTTCTACCCTCTAGTGGTAAGAGAAGGGGGTACAAGGAAGCAATATAACTTCTGTTCTAAGGTTCTATTCCCATTATTAATTACTAGCTGATTACAGTTCAGAACATTTATACTGGAATGTGTGCTGGAGAAATTTAAAATACGAGGAGTTTTGTTTGTCTAACGGTGCCTATTTTAGAGTTGGAAGTTGAACAGCTGTTGCATTACATACTTTGCTTTTTTATTGAAATTTTGAAATCAAACATGTCTTGATTTTTCTGTTCTTCTTGAATAGCTACATTCAGGATGTTTTGAGATGGGGGGTGGGGGCAGGGACTTTCATAAGCACTTGTTTTATTTTGTGTGTGTGGAGTACAAAGATGACACCCTTATTGTAAAAAATAAAGTGAAAGAATCACCACCACCATCATTAAACTGTAACTTGTCTAGTAAATTGTCACTAGAGCTATTTGCTGTGGCCATTTCTATTCTGTTATTATAGTGCCTTACTGTGCAAGGCACCAAAGGAAATAAATATATACTTACAAAGATTCAAGATGAATTGTTGCTCCACCTGGGCCCTTGCTGACTGTATTCCAGCTGCTTCAGGACTGTAACAACCACTGTAGAGAAGGACCAGACCTGCAGAAGAAATTGGGTTTGTTTGTTTTGTTTTTCTTCACATTGAGCAAACCGAAATAAAAACATGGTGTAACCAGTGTAAAGAGACTAACGATTTCTGCGTTGAAAAGCTATATATCCACTCATGTTGAAACAGTAATTAACCTTGTGATTCTAGAAAAGCTGAGAAATATATTAAGTAATATAAGGATCTGTGAGTATAACTAAGATCCTTTTAATGATCACATCTCTCAGGTTCAGCTCTGGCACAGCTGAGAATCATTGGAATCTTGATCCAGCACAATATGCTGTACTGCTCATTTTGGGGGAAGAAAGTTCTTTGTTTTTCCTATCCAAAAAAAAGCTGTTGACATCCATTATTGATTATACCTCAATTACTGGTATTCAGACTTCCCCTGGTATAAACAAGGCAATACAAAGTTGTTCTTTCTTTACCCGTTGTAATTTGAAATGAACAAAAGGTCTCGCACTTGAGCAGTCAGGGAAGGCAGCAGAGGGCGCTGAGGAGAGGCTTGGTGGCCAAGGCTGACCCAGAGGGCCAGGCAGGGGCTGCCAGCCGGGTGAGTGGTGCTGGGGCCACCGGTGAGCAGGGCTCGGGTGATGGGGGCAGCAGGTGTTCGGAACTTCGAGGCAGGCCTCCATGTTTTCCAGGTACCAGCAGAGACCAGGATGTTAGAGGTTTGGGGTCTACACCGAGGGTCAAACCAAACCGACAGCATAACAGGGTTCAGGCTGCAAGCAAGGCATTCAGACTCGCAGAACTGGGCGCTCGGTCGAGGATTCAGCCAAGTGAAGCCTTGTAGGAAGTGCCCACACCTGAATCTGCTGCTGCTGCTCTGGGAGAGGCTTCTAATGTCACTCCTATACCTGGGTACTGCTTGTAACAAGACCCAGCTCCAGGAGCCTTACACAAGGTGGTCACTGGACACTCACATGCTTGAGTCCATGGGACCGCTCCGCTCTCAGGATAGCACTGGATAACTCAGATGAATTGTGCCCAAACCCGCTTCGTCTTGCCTGACATGCAGGGAACCAACATGCTGAAATGCCAAGGTTTGAGGCAAAAGAGGATTTCATGTCAAGTCAGCTGAATGAGGAGATGAGAGAACAGATCTTAAACCCACTTCCCCAAAGTCTAAGGAGTATCGATAGGATGATGAGTTACCAAGCAGGGCAGCATGCTCTTGCCTTGGAAGAATTGACATTGTTAAAATACCCATTCTACCCAAAACGTTCTACAGGTTCATTGTTCTATCAAATTACTCATGATGTTTCTCACAGAGCTAGAACAATCCTAAAATTCATATGGAACCATAAAAGATCAAGAGGGATGGAGTAGAAGGTTGGGGTGAAGGTTTGGTTTTTGGTTACTTGGGTTTTTTGGGCTGCACTGGATGGCTCTTGGGGTCTTATCTCCCCGACCAGGGATCAGACCCAGGCCCCCTGCAGTGGTAGCGTGGGGTCTTAACCACTGGGCCGCCAGGAAATTCCCTGGAAGCTTTTATGTAAAGAATAAATAAACAACAAGGCCCTACTATATAGCACAGAGAACTATATTCAATACCCTATGATAAACCATAATGGAAAAGTATTCAATATGTATGTATAACCAGATCACTTTGCTATACAGCAGTAATTAACACAACATTGTAAATGAACAGTACTTCAATGAAAAACAGCAGGGAAGTGTGAGGTGTGGGGTGCATGGGGAAAGGTGGTCGGAGAAGGTGCAGGGATCATCCTGCCCTCTTGGAACTAGGCTACAGGCCTCTGCAGGTGTCTGAGCATGCTCTGCTGGAGGGTGGGTGGCGGGTGGTCCTAGCCAGCCTTAACCAGTTCATGTACACCAGGTGTAGTTGAGATTCCCAAGTGCCTGGGGAATAAATAACCCAGCCATCCACCTTAGTGTTCAGGCTCCTGGCCTCTTAGGAAACATACAGATGTTAACCTTGATCAGTGTGAAGCAGATAAAGCAGATTTGACTAATCCTCATGCACCATTTCAGTCCACTGCATCTTTTGATCATTCCTCAACCTTTTAAGTGTTAAAAATGTATCTTTTTTGTACCACACAGCTGTGGGAGCTTAGTTCCCTGAATAAGGATCGAACTCCTGCCTCCTGCAGTGGACAGCTCGTGCCTCCTGCAGTGGACGGGCATTTTCTTAACCACTCGTCCACTGAGAAAGTCCCTTGATCCTCAGTCTTGAGGAAAGAGTGGCAGTGCCCACTCTGAATACTTTTTGCCGATAAGGGGTGTGTAGACCTAACAAGTAAAGAAGCTGTTAGCACTCATTTGAAAATACTCTTATTCCTGATTTCAAGTTAACCTTTTGACCCCAATAAGCAAACAGCACCTATGTGCCAGCTGTCACAGCATTCATAGGCCAAAGTTGTTAATCAAAAAGATGGACCTTGGTGGGGAGGGGAGGGCAAAACACAAATAATGTACATGCAAGACATACTGATAATCTTCACACATCAAGTCAGGGATCAGTGACTGACTCTGACCTCAAGTGCCTCAGTTGTTAACCAGTTTAGCTGAAACACTTGGGTATTAAATATGGAAGGGACGTGGACCAGGAAAAAAAAGTATGATTGCTACAATATCCTGACCAAGTGGACTCTTAAAGGGGCAAGACACCCAGGGTTATTTGAGGACACAAGGAGAGGACCAGGTTTCAGCTTCTGGGGGAATGGAAGTTGGGTTGATTAAGTCCAACACGACCTTAATATCTGAGGGTTCTCTATCCCAAGTGTCAGTGAAGGCAGAGGCGGTGGGAAAGTGCTGACAGGCATAACTAAGGGGTCGGCATGATCAAATATAGAAAAAAGGTTTGGAGTAACATATCCAACAGCTAGCGAGAGTACCTGCTTTTGCCAGAGTCTGAGAAATCTTAATCCTTGTTCTTCCAAGCCCAGGAGGTCAAAAGTACAGAAAAGACAAAAGAACAGTTATTCTGGTAACCTGACAAGTTATACTTACCTTCTGAAGAATTTTATTTAACCAAAGCCAGTACTGCAGCTGTCTTGTTCACCTTAGTTTCTTTCTCACGGCTTCTTTCTGGAAAGCAACTTAAGATCTGCTAGGGACTCACTTGCCCATTCAGAGAAGTCAGTGTCAGGGGTATGGAACCAGCCAAGGTTTGGATGACCTTGGGCAAGGTTTGTGTCCCTTCTGTAACAGGGTCTCTATTTTCCATTGTGCTCCTCAGAAGGTCCACTCCAGCAAGGATGGCACTGGTCTTGTAGATGTTTACCCTTCTAAGATTGCAGGGTAGAGGTTCATTGTCCCCTCCTTTAAGAGTTTCCTGGGGAACTTCTGCCTGCCTGCCGATACAGGGGACACCAGGTTGATCCCTGGTCTGGGAATATTCCACATGCCACACAGCACATAGCTGCTTCAGGGAGGCACTAGTCCCTCCCAGTTAGATCCTTGGCACTTTCGCTGCCAAGGGCCCAGGTTCAATCCCAGGTTGGGGAATAAAGACCCCACAAGCAATGTGACCAAAAAAAAAAAAATTCATAGCTGCTTCACATGAGTCTTCCCCATCTGATGGTCTAGAGATTAGAGACCAGGCTTTTTCAAAATGTCTCAAGACACCTTAGTTACAAACATAGTCTCAAAGTTTAGAAAGCCAGATATTTGAAACAGAGTAAGTGGCCCCCATATTGATCAGAAAGTCCAAAAGTTGATTTCTCAACTGTCGTAGTCCTGAAAGGTTCTATATGCTGGAAATTGATGGACTTGGCAGGATTGAGGGGAGCCCTTGGGTTCCTTGGTCTCTTATCATTCTCATCTATCTCAGTCATCTGATGTACCACTTGTTTTATCTTCTTCCAGAGTCTTCCTTAAGATGACACAGTCTTTTCTGAGGGCCCTCCTGTTTGAAATATGCACAGTGGTTGGGCTGGGTCTTTTTTTTTTTGGTTGTGCTATGTAGCATATAGGATCTTAGTTCTCTGACCAGGGATCAA